TTACCCTGAGCTATTCACCTTCAATTTAGCAGGACGTACCGGTTCAAGGACGCTTCAGAGCAAACACTGGTCCTTTCGACAACACTCGATGGTTTCAGCGTGCTTATGACCGCGAGGTCGAGGCTGATAACTCAGCATAACACCTCGGCAGCCATAATGCTAAAAGACCTGGAGCTGAAGGCCCTTGCTGCTTATATTATGTGCATATATATATATATGAGGCATCAGATGCATGCATGGCGCGAAGTTTTTGTATCCACGTCACGTCTTTTTTCAACTATTCGTGCACTAATGCATGGTAAACAATAATTATGTGTTATTTGAGTACGGCGTTGGCGGCACCCGCTTACCACCGAGTCATCGCCGTTGGCAATGGACACGGCGGCTGAGCTGGAAACGCTGGAACACGCCAGGCATCAGGAAATATTGATGTGTTTTGAATGCATAGCAAGACGGTGCCAATGCCGGCAAGCAGCCAAGCTCTCTTGCTCCGAGGCGGGACCGATGCATCTTGGCGCTGTTCCCGGTGTGGTGCCAATGAACACATGTTCTTGACAAGAGGTAATGCACTCCTAATTAACACTAAATACTTAATGAACGCTGGGTCCCTTAACACGCGTCCGAGTGACCGGCTAGATACCCTTCGCTCGGGTGGGGGAGGGGGTCAAGTTGATCCCCGCTGAGATCTCGGGAACTAAGGAAGCTAGAGACATCAAACTTACAAGGTGTTTCGACCTGTACGTGAACTCACTTAGGTCAAAGTTTGAGCTTCCTAGGTTATGAACTTCATGCCAAATAAGGTCAAACAAGGTCAAAAGTCCGGGTCGGTCTTCAAAGTGTCCTAGAACCTAGATAACTGTTCTTAAGCCAAAGATCACCAGCTCATTTGGGGTCAGCGACCTTGCTTGACTTTTGAAGGTCATGTGACCAAAATCATACAAGACTGCTCTGAGTTTTGCATTTGAATAAGTGACAAAGATAACGCTAGGCAGTATGTTTCTAAAAAAATGCCGACATGGGTCGCCGAGGTCAATGACCTATTATGACCTCTAAGAAGTCAATGAAGGATATATAATGCGGTTCCTGCTATCAATAGATTCGAAATAAGCACCAAAATCTATCCCATACAGCAAACCTTAGAGTAATAAAACAAATTGGTTTTGAGATTGGACTGGGCTTCATACCTGACCTTAGGTCAACGTAATTTGCTCATTCAATATTTGTGTTGCCTAAGAAAGCATCTCAGGCATGTATGCTTCGTCAGGCACTCCGTTGTTGCATCAGATGAAACGATACCCTAGAAATTGCCTTCGTTGAAACTATGGCCTGACTTTGACCTGCCATAGGTCAGCGACCTTACAAGGTACATCTAAATTTTTGTGTCAAACAAACCAATTTTAAATTGTCTACAGCTATGCAAAATTTGATGCGGCTACGCCACGCTGTTCGGAAACCATTCTGGAAAACCTTGGGGGGTCAATTTGACCCCCCAACCGAGCGTGTGTTAATGACACGCATTATACTCACATAACTACAAGCGCATTTTTACACAGGTATCAACTATGCCAAGGAGAAGGATGTTGAACCCAACCCTCTATCCTTTGGAGAAAGCCCATACACCTTTCGGGGCAACATAACGCAATTTTTCATGGTTGCATTGACAACATTTGTCCACGTAGTAAGCGGATTCAAGCCTTCCAACGTGCCAGATCACTGACCTTCGACCTCATTTTGAAAGCTCTGTTAGGCAACCCGTGATGCACTCATGCCTCTGCATGCCCTGGATTTTTTTAAGTGTTTTGTCACTCCACATCACTTGTTTTACAAGTCACGTTTAAAATTCACAGCGGCTCAAATCTTGAAAGTCGCACGAAATGCACTCACACACCTCTTATATAATGAGCCAAAGTGACCAAGCTGTGTTAATGTAGTCACTATATTAACACACCTTGGTCGCTTTAGCATCCAAAAATGACCCTTACACTGTGTAAGGATCATTCCTGTTCGGCTAGGCAAGACAGGTCCTCATAAGTATCAAAAACACCACCGTGGTATATGGTTTTTACAGCGTAATAACGCAATAGCCCCACATGGAGATCACGGTGCCAGGTGATTTAAGGTCAAGGTCATAGAAGATCATAGGAGGCCAGATCAGGCGACCTTCTGTATGACCTTGCTAAATCCGACCTGACGGATCAGTAGCAAGACGTGCTGTAAAATAGCCGCAAAAAACTGTACAGCGTGCACGGGGACGCTGACTGAATTTGAATTTGTGCACTGCTGTGTCGGGCATAAGAAGAATCGGCAGGGGAATCACCATCCAAGCAGGCGAGGTTGACTAGAACGGCCAATACGGTGGTAGTTAATTTGGAAGAAATCAGTCTATCTTGAGAATCAAGTGAATTTATTTTGTTGTCGATGCATCAAGCCAGATCAAAGTCTTCTGCACTTTTCGCGGTCAGGCTGGATTATTTGTAATTGTGTGCGATTACCTAGTGAGGCCTGCGTGCACTTCATTGATTAGATCACAATTATCTCATCAGTTTTGCGATTCTGCAAAAGCTACGTTCAAAGCACTTAAACAATCATAGTTCGCTATTGTTTCAAAATTCCACCCAAAATCCAAAAATAAGCTAAACATTCAGCTCTATTGCTCATGAATGAATTGGAATTCGGCAAGCAAGGATTGCCTTCGAGATTCCCTTTGTATCGCCGTGGATACGTTTATTTTCTGAATGGAAATAAGGTGACAGCATAAAAGTCATTCATTGAACGTGTTGTGATAGCTAATGGTGGATCATGTTTGTTGACGCTGACAAATTAACGCGGACACGTCCCCTCCCCTAATGGTGGGCAAACAGAGGCCTTGGTTTGAACGACCCTCATGCACAACAACTCAACACTGAGCAATAAATGCCGCGTGCACGCGGGTCCATGATTTCGTCAAGGGATAGGCCACACTTCAGCGTGGTGCCCCTAGTACTTTGTGCTCCCCCCTCCACACATACAGAAAGTCCCTGGATTTCGGTCACTTTATTTTCTTGTTTTTTATTTTGATTTTTGCATCATCATCTTTCACATCTCCTTTCATTGTCAAGAGGACCAGTGCAGATGAGCCTTTGACATTTGGGGTTCCAGCCCTGTCCCTGTTTAACAAATATGGCCCTGGCCAACCTGCTGTTCTTTTTTGACACGGGGTCTCCCTTCAGACACTGTAGGTCCTTCTCTGTGGCAGGGGCCCGACCTATGCAAAAGGCCTCCTGATTAATATTTTCCGGCCCCGGCCTCGCCCTGCTTGGGAGAAGGCTACCCTAGGGCCAGACGTTACGGAACCAACTGTTCAGTATTGTTGGTCTCGGTCAGCTGACTGGAATAGAGACTCTCGCTGTTCCAGCGGGCCCCCGATCTGTGCGCGATGTACTCTGACATTTGAAGGCCCCGTCTCCGGGCTGCGGTCCCTTCATATGACCGCCAAAGGCCCCCCAAGGGACCCGAAGGACCCCTCGGGACCCTCAGGACCCCCGGGGGCCTAACGGGCGGGGCTACGTGCTCCTGTGCTCCTTCCCTAAGAGCGCCTTCATAATGGCACCCGTGGAGCTTGGTTCCACGTGAAAATAAAGATTTGGGGAGAGTTTCTGGTGCTCCTCGGATTTTATTGCGCCTAAAAATGGAGGAAAGAGCCGATACAGTATTTCGCCGATGGAGAGGCATGGCCATTACCATGCCCCCTGAATTTATTGTCTCTGAAAACAAAGATTTGGGGGCCTTTGTGATCCCCCTGGAAAAAGTTGCCTGGAGAAAATAAAAGTTATGACGCCCAAAACGAAGGCTTTAGGTGCTCTTTTGCAAGACTGTCTGTTTCAGAATTCTGTCAAGGTGAAAGGCAAAATGAATTTTGGTGTCCCTAGATTTCGCTTCCTTTTAAAGTTACGACGTTTGAGTCCTCAAATGGCCAGTTTTGAGTTGTACCTTTCAAAGATAAGAGTTATGGTGCCCCGAAATTAAGCTCTTGGTGTCCCCTTTCCCAGCGGGCCAATCAAGAATTTCGTCAGGGTGGGAGGCACATCATTGTCGTGTCCCTGGAATTTGGGGACCCTGGGCATGGAGCTTTGGGGCTCATTTGACGCTCCTTGACTGCAATGCCTCTCTGAAATGAAATTTTGGGTCACTTACTGCGTCTCTGACATTTGGTGTCTCATAACAACAAAGGTTCTGGGGATCCAAAGTGAGGATTTTGGTGCCACGCCACAATGGGATTTTGGTGCCCCTTCAGCTCAAGAGGGCCATGACCACCTGGCCCCTCTCTCTAGATCTGCCACTTTGCACGCATAAGTGACACAGAGCACTTGTACATCAGATGAAACCATTTGAGGCATCAGAGTGCCACCCTTTCCAGCAGGATATTGTCATCAGTTTCCACACACCTCCCAGGAGTTTCCACACCGATGCGTGGCTTGGCGCTGCCATCTTAGGTTTCCAGTGTGACACGTCAAGACCGTATCAGCTGTCCCCGTCGCTCAGCTGGTAGGGGTGGAGCGCTCTCACCAAGGTGCGACAAACCCGTGGGCAGAAGTCAATATCGACACATGGCGGTGCTACCTTGAGATTGAGTGTCATGGTCCAATATTTTGGTGAAGGTGGGTTCAAGGTCTTCAAAATAGGTCCTGAGTTGAGTGTTGGCCCTGATTAATAAGATGCTCTCCAAAACATTCGGTGGAATTCCTTTAAAAAGTGAACTGGCCGCTTGACACATACCCGTTCATTATCAGACGCGAATGTATATTACCCATTGACCTGCAGCTGACTTTTACGATCGGATTAGAACTATGGGAGCCAGTGTCCAGGGCGCAGTACCATCACCTATCTCGCACCCGAGTATGGCGAATTGCTGCTATGCTTTGAGCCGTTGGCCACGGTTCCTTTTCCCCGGGATGGAACGTTACATAATACAGCGTACAGCCCTCGGAAACCCAGATACAGGTTCTCTCCAGCAATTGCACCTGATGCAGATCCTTCGATCCGTTGGAGGGAAGCCGGTGTTTTATGGCGTCACGTGACGCGAGGCCGCCGGGAGGATCGTCGGGCGACAACTCCTCCAGCTCGACGTCCTCCCACTCGTCCTCCTCCGGCGACCTTCCCTCCCGCTCCGCGTTAGAGTCATCCAGCACCGGGAACTCCCCGCTGCCCACCTGGAACATCGACAAAGCGGCAGCTCCGTCAGCCGTTCGGACTCCACCGCTCTGGCGCGCGAGCTGACGCAGGCCGGCCGCTGGAACCGCTGCTGTTTTTGGGACGGACGAAGAACACAAGGCCTGAAGGCCCGGGAGCGAAAACACGAACCGGAAAGCCGGCGGCAGTAAGTTTTTCAAGGCGGAAGATGTGTGCCGAACTGATTTCTCAAAACTGTCTGTTGTTCATCAATCGTAAGAAAGTTTTCCCTCTGTCCATCTCGCTCTTGCTTACGATCTGTTCTCACTCGCTTTTTCGCGCACTACAGTCATTGGTTTGTTTTCTCTGCGCTTCTGCTCATCTTGTCTCTTTCTGTCGCGCTCTGTTCATCTCACCACTTATAATTCCGTCGTCCCCTCTCACCCTTCCTCTCTATTTAATTTTGCATGGGTGTTGTTTTGTCTTTTACGCATCACTTACGCAGATAAATTCGCATGAAGCTGGATTTTTAAGCTCCAACGTGCAGGCATATGAAACCTGAGTGTTTTCGAAGCGACTGCGTGACAATCTCGATGAATGATACCCTTAATCCGGTCAAACAATGCAACCATTTCCCGTGCGATCTGATGATTTATGAGGGGCATCAGCAGCTACGGTGCCCTTGAAAGAATTCAAACATGGCGACAGAAAAACAGCACTGTTCTTCAACACAGCTGATGAATAATTGCAACAAATCCCTGGCAAAGTCCCATTCATAATAAGGATCCAATTTACAATACATTCATCAAAAGGCTTAAGCTTTTGTAAGCCTGAAAAGATGGGCGGATGGGTAAAGCTCCTTCTATTTTACTCCTGCTCTTTTGCGAAACGAACCCAGTGGGAGTTGAAAATCAAAGTGCAGTGAAGGAACGTCACCTTACGGTCCGGGAAACTCCAAAGCACACCACTCAGAAGGCAAACTGCCGAGGCGATCTCGTGGTCTGGCACGGGTACGACGCAAACAGTTTTTTTACCCACCTGTCAGTGGCAATTTGGTGGTCGAAGGAACAGCGTATTTGTGAGGCTTTCCACCGTCACTGCAGCGTCTGGTAAACACTTCAAGTCGCCGGATTGACACATATGGGAATCAGAGTCGACCAACAGTATTCGTTACTCGAACAGAATGACAAGTGATGTGTATTCCGGCACACCGAACAGACACGTTCGGTGTGCCGTTCCAGATCCCCATCCCCAGAAGTTCCAGATCCCCGTGCATTCTGGATATAGAGCAGCTGGCTGCGCCTGAAGGTCAGCTCCACTTGGGATCACAGCAATGTATGAAGTCAAACAGGAGTGCAAGAAAACTAAGAAACCGTTGAGCGCAGAGGGTGGCTATATCAATGCCTTTTTATGCGAGGCAATGCAAATTGGAATAATACAATATGAGCCAACGGATTTACATGACCAGGTGAACTGAATGAAAGTCAGCACAGTAGACTGAAGATCATTAGGAAGCTCTAGGTCACCAATGAACTTCTGTGTAAACGCAAGATTTAAAATGTTTTATAGCTCAATGCTTAAAAAAAGCGTATGTAATTTCAACACGATATTAAATTCAGCGAAAACCATGAAGCGACGTTGAACAATCATAAATCACGCATCCCTGAACCACAACACACTAAACATCTTCCAAAAAGCCTTCAAAATTCAAATTTTGCATACAGAAAACCCACCACGCTGCAACACGAGCCCAGTGTCACCCATGCGTCGTACGTCACCTTAGTAAAGAAGTGCACGCTAGCAAACTCTAGCAGTGTGGCGATGACGAAGCCGAAGCTGACCAACAGAAACCAGTCCAGGGCGGTGGCGTAGGACACCTTGGGCAGTGAAGTGCGAGACTCGATGCTTATAGTGGACAAGGTCAGCACAGACGTGATGCCTGCAATCAGGCCAGCAACTATTAGTCGTGGGCACGTAACAAAAGCATGTCATTACCAGCGAGCAGCAGCATTTACTGGGGCAGGGTCTTCATCACCTAAAGTCGCAGTACACATTGTTCAAATTCGATGATTTCGACAGCCAGGCAGAATCCCAACTCATGTTTGCTTGTTGCGAGCATGCAATGTCAGCAACCACCAATGTTTTTTTCTGGCCAGACATGTTCGAGCTTTGTCTTTTTTGTGCCTTGAAGGCAACAGGTCGAACAGGAAACTATGAATGAAATGTGGCCGGAAATACAGAGCTCATCGCGCAAATTCATGTCCAGCGTAAGCCATAAGCGCATGACGCGAACGCTCTAGCATTTTCATTTTCCTATACAAAGAGTCAGTACATTGTGATCAGCTGCTGACAGAGCCAAAAATTTCGATGATGCGTCAAAGCTGACCATCTGCCCACAGCTGACTGAGGCGCGTCTCAGAATGCCGCGTGAACGTGACAAGGCAGTCTGGGATGATACCCCACGGAACCGTGGTGCATCCAACGAAGAGAGACAGAGAGAGAGCACGAGGCGCCGCCCGAACGCGGCCCACCAGCGACCCATGGTGAGTTGCTAGTGGATCGCAAGCGAGCCGAACGAACGCCGAGCCGTAGCAAACGCCCGGCTCGCGTGATCTCAGTGCCTTCAGCAAAAGGGCGCGTCGATTTCAATCATTCATCACGGTTGCGCCGCATCAGGCGGGGCAAAGTTGACTCATCTCTCGGTTCGCCTGGGCCGGTGTCACCCATCACCGCTCGATCTGAGAGGTTACGAGGCCGAAACCCTCACCGAGGCTGACGCGGTCGGCCGTAGCCTCTCGGTTGATCCAGAACGACACCCAGGAGAGCACCACGATCAGGGTGCACGGCAGGTACACGTTGATCATGAAGTAGCCCGTGTGCCGCTGCAGGTTGAAGTTCACTTGTAAAATTGAGTACTCCTCGGCGTTCTTCTTCCCTGAAATGGGTGGATGGTTGAAACTGGAGTGATGAATGATTAGGCGTCGCGGAAAGGTCTGAGCACGCGTTCAAGCACCGTTGTTAAATCACTACGATTGAGCTTCATCTAAGACGGTGACGTGTGACACAAACATAACCTTGCCCTTCCGCGTCACACGCACGTTAAAGTCAAACTGAAAGATGTATTTGGCTTACAGGCCTTGCCGACACATGAAATGGTCATTTGCCGGTAATGTAATGGTCCAAGACGGAAGCATTATACATGTGTCATTATTACCTATCGGTGCGTTATCGCGACACATCAAAGTGCCTAAAAGTTGTATATCATGCGCCACAACAAATCGCGTCAACTGATGATCACAAAACCTTAAAAAAATAGCTGACCACAGGAGCCATTTGACTGCAGCTAGCCGGTCAGAAGCATGCGGAATCCCACCCAGCTCATCCTGCGCAGCCTCGGCAATCTCGGTCACACAGGGAGGCGAGACCGGAAGCTGGTCACACCGCCGACCTCCTCTGCTGAGGCCGCGTACTGCAGCAGCTAGCCGTTATCCCGTCTGGCCGCAGCACACCTCCGACCTTCCCCTGCTGGGACCGCACACTGCAGCCATCCCGACGGTCGGGTCGCCCTGACCCCGTCTGGCCGCAGCACACCCCCGACCTTCCCCTGCTGGGGCCGCACACTGCGGCCGTCCCCACGGTCGGGTCGCCCTGATCCCATCTGGCCGCAGCACACCCCCGACCTTCCTCTGCTGGGACCGCGCACTGCAGCCGTCCCAACGGTCTGGTCGTCCTTATCCCGGCTGGCCGCAGCGTCATGTGTTGGCTAAATAATCGATGCCATGTTGTGCTGTGATTCTGCCGATTTGTTCCAGGGTCGGGGAACATGTCAAAGTATATCGCGAAACCCAATTTGTTGGGTCAGCCACTACCTGGCATTGCCATGGATTGCTGACTGTGGTGCATATGCAGGCTCAGATGGTTCTGATTTCATGCTTGGGCTACCTTAACGTAGCGCTGCTGCCGACGGCCTTGGCAAAATGCGGAGATGACTGGCAATGCACAAAACGCCTCTATGAAGTCGATGACACCGCTAAACCCGAACGTGTTGAACTTTTTATAGCCCGATTTGTGCGCGGCCGCTACACCGAGCGCTACAGGTGCCAGCAGAAAAATCGCTGCCAGGAGACGAGCGCAATCACCGAGCGAACTGCCAGTGTGCGGCCGCATCACAGGCCCCCCCCCCCCTCACCCCGCGACCCTGCTCGCGGCTATCGTCGCGCCCAGCCCCGGCCAGCGGGGCCGCCGGCTGGCGACGATCCTGGCGCACTCACCGCTCTTGCGATGGACCGTGGCGTTCCGGAACGGGAACGAGATTAGGTCGAACTGCGAGAGGTAGATGCCGCGGGCCAGGCCGACGTTGATCTCTTGGTCCCACTCGTACACAAGGTCGCGGTCCGTGTACGCATCTGTGACGGGGGAGGGGCGCTGAAAGTGCGCTCGGTGGAAGGGGAGTGGGCGGGGGGGGGGGGGGGGGGGAGGGAGCGGCGGAGACGCCGTGCGGAGGTACCATGATGGCAATGGATGGTACTTAATTATCGTACTGGTGGGCTTAAATGTCGCAGTGGTGGGAGATGGAGAGGCCGGCCACCGCCGCTGTTTAAACATGGGCCAGAAAAACGTCGCACCGGTTGTCATAAGGCAAACGTGGTTCGGTGGCATGCACTGATCGGGGACAGCTGGTGCCTTACCAATGCTGAACAAGCGACGTGTTGCTAGCACGTGTCAATGTCGTGAAAATTTCTGTTTTAAAGTCGTGAAGTCAGCTAATGACGATCATTGAAACAGTGCAGAACAGCAGATGCACATTTGCTGCCTGCGCATCTCGTGCACTCACAGCTACCAATGATGAGAGGGCATGTCTGCTTGTCCATCGGGAAGTGCTGAAGAAGCATAGGGCACTTGGCCTTGATCGTCAGCCTGCGAAGACAGAGGGTTTCAACGATGAACGTCCCAATCGCGAGTACGTCTCTTCTAACCAAACAAACAATCAAGACTGCCTCGCAAGTTATGAAAACCGTTATAAAACCGTTGAATAGCGTTTCGAAACCGTTAATAACTGTGATCAACAATCACTGCTCCAGTGTAAGTTCCAGAACATCCAAAAGACCATCGATGAAAGATTGGTGATAGCCGGCAACCAGGTTTATCCTGGGTAATGGGTGGTCACATCATCACGTGTTTCCCATATTTTTAAGGCAGTTAGGTGGAAACAATATACAACATATATACATAATCTACGTCATCAATAATATACGCCATGGAATATGGCGAAAAGCGAAGTTTGGATTCATCTTAGACTAGTTGCGTGGATCATTTTGATTCCGTGCCCTTGAGAACATTCTGCACACACCTTTGCTCGCGACTTGCCGTTCGAATTCCGCACCTAACTCACTTAAAGCCATCGCTGACAACGACCCCACAACGTCAGCTTCAAAAGACCAGCATTAAAAAACCCAGCGCCGGCCGAGCGTCAAAATTAGCGGAGCCATTCTGCCACTTCTGTCCCGATGGCCCTTCGGCGAGCGGGGCAGTCGAAAGTGCCGGCGCTGCGCTTTCGACCTGCCGCCGGCCGCAGCGGCGCGCGTCCGATCGGCGTCAGCCACTCACCGCATCGAGTAGAGGATGCTGCCGTTGCTGCTGAGCCGGATCAGCTTGTTGGGCCGCGTGATCATGTGCACGTAGCTGCCGCGGCCGTTCAAGAAATAAGTGTCCGGCTTCCAGATGCCCTCCAGCATTTTGATGTTCAGACTCAGCTGGTCGATGGAGCTGTTGAAGCTGAGACGTTCGTCGCGCCACATTTGGCGGAAGTAGCAGTCCATCGAGTACTCCTACAGGCGCAGGGAGGCAAAACTGAAGAGGGGGGGGGAGAGGGTGGAGCAGGGCCAATGTGGACGGTGCAAGGCAAAGCGGAAGGAAGAAACGAGAGACGCTTTTACTGATGAGGGGGCTGACATCCGATCGACCAAAGCTCTGGTGACGTAGTGGGAGGTGAACACGACCAAGGAAAACGTCCCGCGGCGATAAATCCAACAGTGGTACCTCTGATAACAGCCCCCAAAAGGTGTGTGTTTATACGATCCAGTCTCACCGCACCGCCGAGGAAATGCTTCGCACCGGACCCGTTCGGAAACTCTGGACACATTTCAGCACATCAACAGATGAAGACGTACAGACGCAGAGAGATCACGGGAGGGGCGCTTCGGACCTCTCCACGTCCTACCACACACACACGCTATGAACAAAAGTCTTGTGTCTTCCGTTCCCGTTCGATCGGCGGCATGGTGGAGGTGCCGAGAGCGGCGATCACGCGGAAGCACTCGGGCTAACAGGCCGTGGCCTGAGGGAGAGACGGACGGCACTGACAGGTCCCGTCTGATAAGAGGGGGGGGGGGGGTCGGGGTACGTCCACCCGATAGGAGCGGGCCTGTCTGGTGCTGGGGATTGCTCCGGCCCAGGCCGGAGGTCATTCTTTTAACTAACGAAGCAGCTGCCATCTCGTCAAGGAGAGATCCATTTCCCGGCATCCGCTAGCCTTCCGTGCTTTGATGACCAGCCTGCTCCCTTTGGCTACCAACGATGCACGGGGAACTCCCAATGGAGGACACTTTTGTCTGGGACACGCACCGTCCGGATCACGCCTAGAAAGCGCATGAGCAGGTGAACATCTTTCAGACAATTTTGTTTGCCGGTTGTGATATCGAACCAATCGTAGTGATGATATTTCTGAGCATTTCTAGCCTCCCGCCCTCCAGTGCACTTCGCACACATTTCAATGCCCCGTTCTTCCCTGTTGGAACCATTTGCAGCGTCGGGCATTGGCATTGGTATGTGCAGCGTGGATAATAGTCACAAGTTTCCCCGAGTACTTACTGGCGCATGTAATGGCCCAGCTCATTTCTACCTAGTACGGAAACATCACTTGGCGGAGGTATATCGAAGCCTAAAATTTTGCGACCATGAGACATGTCCATTAACCTCACCCTTCACTGACGGGTCTGGTTGCAAGTGCTATTTTCCAGCTCCATCCAAGCTAAGGCCAATGGTACCAAACCTCACCAGTCTGAGACGATTCGACTAACACCAGCGCTTGGAGGGTCACTGTCCACTGCAACAGCCACGAATCAGTCGGGCGTGTTTCGGGCCCTCGAAGGAGTGCCTGCGCCAGACACCTCTGCTACAACCAGGAACGTGATGGTCTCGTGTAATCCCCATGGCTAACAGTCTCAGCTATTTGGGTCGCACAATCCCAGAGCGATTAGCACACACAACCGGCGCAGACTTCGGATATCCCATCGGGTTCGGCAGCACGTTTGCTCGATGCAATCGGCCCTTCCTGGAATCCGACAGCCGCAGCTGCTGCTCTTGTTACGGCGCTGGGAGCTACTGCAGAGCCGTTCCGCCGTGATCAAATTATCAGCCGCCGGTGGCTTAGGGCCCAAATACACAGATTTGTTGCGCCGCAGGAAATAAATTGTTTCACAACAGGGGTTTTCACGGACTGGCGGTACAAAATTCTGTCTAATCAAATACAACATCTTTAAATTAAACCAATCACCAAGCCTGCTTTTTCGCAAGTTCCGAATTTTATTCGGTACAGTTACATAAGTCCAATGGAATCGAATTCAGATTGTTATAGACGGGCGTAGAGGATGTGTCATGTAGACTAGGCCGCAAATAATCCACGACGTTTTCGGTTTGAGACATTAGTGCGTGGTTGTCCATCACGGCTGTTAGCTAATTGACGGACGTGTATGGAATCCCAAATTCGCAAATATTGCGGGAGCAACAAAGGTCTGAGGCCAGGAAACGCTTCATAGGATTAAGTATCCTATTTAAATCTAGGCAATTTCGAACAGGCTGGCTGCCGATAATTAAGTGGCTGCAACGCCCAAGCGGCGTTCGCAGAGGTTCTTGTAGCGGACCACCAGGGGCGGTCCACGTCCAGAGATATGCGGAAAAGCAACGGCTGCGATGATTTGTACGCAGGTCAGCGCTGTACCAAACACATGTTTTCCCGCACCGGCTTTGCAGATTCGACATCTGGCACTGATTTGAAGCACCGCCAGAGGCGTATTTAAGTATCAATGCGTAATGCAGAGAGATAAATAACACCAGTTGTGATGCAACACTTCTGAAGTATTTCTCTTACCGCCATTGTCAAGATTTTGCAACAATCACTAACTCCATGTTGGCTTATAGTCGCAACATCGAAATACAAAAAAAAAATGCAGTGGAGTAGGGTTTTTGCTCATATGACTCAAAGTTCAGATAAGTTTCGCTTTTTCTTTTCTGGGGGAGGTTCAGACTACAAACTTCCTTTTCAGAGCTCCCAAACTATCATCGGTACCATACGACAAGAGAGTCCAGGGAGGACGAATCGTCGTCCCATGGATTTCTAGCGAAATCCGTTACGTGAATATGGGATTAACAATATCAGATAGCACACATACAGGCACGTCTACCACGTCTTGAATTCAATTAAAGAACCCTTCAATTTGTTTCAGTCTGTTTGACCAGGTCAACCGTATTGCCCGGAGTATTTTTGATCAGTCCGGTCTAACCCATAGACCGGGCAGAATTGTCTTAAGTCCCGGAGCTTAGCAGCTCATGAAGAGCTCTAGCTTGTAGTGCATGGTTTAATGCACACGTCTCTAACTGCTCATTTTCCTGTAGTCAAATTGTGCTAACTCGTCCGTTGCTAGTGACGAAAGCAATGCTGATGTTTGCTGGGCAATTTTTTCGAGAGATTATTGGATAGTTCGTTCATAAAGGTGACTGATATGCATGGTACCTCGCTGACTTTTCCGTTCGTTCGACGTTCCACTCTTTCCGCTAACGGTTTTGGATTTGGAAGCCATCTACCAGCCGCCATCACACTGTTTCTCTGCATTCTCTCAAGGGCCCAACTCACCATGAAACGTCCAGGAACGTAACCCAAGCTGCAAATCACCACACCTAGCTCGGAATTGGGCCACACTGTTGAACTAGCCTGGACCCACGATAAGCAAAACGTTCTGCTCCAAGACGGACCTTTCTGAGCAGAGCAAGACAAATATTTCCTGGTGATTGAGGTCGAGTTTCGATGTGGCCTATATCACCAGGTGCCAAAGACCACGCTCATTTTAAATGGGATACGCGCGACTAAGCTGCGGTCACTACATATGCTACTTAAAACCTCCTCGCGCTCGCTAGGTATACAGGGTCTACAAATTCAGCACACATCTTGGAGCGTGTTTTCGATTGAAGGCAGTCCGTGCCGAATGCTTGCGAATCCCGGCGTACACCTGTCTGGAATACATGGTTATTTCTGCCGCGTGCAAACCTAAGTTTTGAATGCAGAGGACTCGGGCAAAGCATCTTAATTATCATGCAAGGTTAGACTCATACGGTCAATTATCACTGTAAAACGTTGGGTTATTAGCGTGCTGCATTTTATTGTGAGTTTTTATGGTAAAGATGACTGGTATTCGGGGCATCAGGAGGAAATAGTAGAACAAAGATATCGAGGAGTCGTTGCGATACATCGCGAAAATACCCGACTTTACAAGGATTGTTCACGGTCTCGAGTGACCATGGCTGCTTCGAACATCAAGTAGAGTCATGATATTTCTCAGTGATTGCATGTTGGGCTAAATGAACTAGTTTCTCTGGTATGCTAAACGATAGTTGTCTTCATGAGAAACCCGTTGTGCCGAAACTCTAGGACTTAAAAACCTCCGTTACTTTTTTAATGACATACCCGTCTTGAGACAGGCCGATGTGAGTATGGACTCACCATGTCTAGTTCGGAGATGGGACCCATGCTGCGGATCAGCATGTTCGTGCGGACACGGGTGGGACCTGAAACAAGCGAGACATGTTACTTGCGTGGTAATAGCTGGACAGACAATGCTAATTGACTTCAGTCTATTGGATATCCGTGATATCTGAACGAAACGGTGCTATATGTATATATACATACATACATATATATGTATATATGTGGGTATATATATATATATATATATATATATATATATGCACATGATGCCGGGTCTGAGAAAAGCGGTAAGAAATGCCATAAAATAAAATACCTCTATATCAAATGATTCAGCAGCAGCACCAAGAAAACTTAGCACAATACTCCTATCAGGCCTTCATTACATCACCGGTGAATAAACCCACTAACTACAATTCTAACGTAGCATAAAAATTATGTTTCCTTACCTGGTTTCTTTCACAACATGCTGCAATAAATCAGCCTATAGACGAGGATACCAGATCTGTATTTCGAAACTCGGATGCAATAGTAAATCTACAGTGACATACTGGCTTCGACGTCACCCTAAGCTCCAAAGCTATTGAATAAGCGCGTCTAAGGCCGCCCAGACACAATGATTTCGATATCAGCTAGCAGCTGCTGCGTTTCATGCGAGGCAAGGCCGGCATCGGACGAAGATTTATCGGGACGACAGCCATCCATTCTCCTTTCAACAACATATGTCTTCTCGGACGGGGGCCAGTGTTTTTGCTGTGGAGGAGCTGTGCCAAAAGAGACGGGCGTGCGGCGCTGCCTCCGACTTCAGGCCCGTTCCGAAGCGGCAGGCGCCGCATAACCGCCAGTGACGGGCGCGTATGTTTGGCTGCGAGGCGCGGATGCACGACACTGCATCGGTGAAAGGATCGGACGCATTTTCAACCTGTTATGTCTGCTGTATTTCACGGGCTTGGCGTGAATATAAATGTGAGCGGACTTTGTTGGTGCCTGGTCACGGTTAGTGTCTGGGCACTGTTGGTGCCTGGGTACTGTTGTTGCTCAATTACAGACGCGTTTAGATCCAGAGTATTCTGCGGTCTGCCTTTAAATTTTGAGTGGGTTATACAGTTCAATCACAACACGGTAGTTTTAGGTTACAACCATTCATTTCCCTTCGATATAACCATTTATTTCATTCATCAGACCGGATTCAGGTTTGGCCAACTCACTTGCTTGCTTACTCACTTTATCGGACTAATTATACTATTACAATATGTCAGGTCTAAATGCCAAAGACACTTCAGATGGGTATTTTTCCATATCTCTTAAGGGCAAACCGACATGAGGCTAAACCCGAGTTCGCATCCCTACTCAACACTGGGGTGTTAATTCATGGAATCGACTTTAAAAATTTTAAAAATGCTGCAATGGCATTCCAGCATTCCAGTCTGTATCATCCAAACTCATCTCCGGGTGACACGGACAGGCGCGGTTCATTTGTTTATCATTCTAGCATTCATTCATGACAACGTAGTAAATTTTTCGCGCATGATCAACATGCAATTGTTGAAGGCCTTTTACGGTATTGACGGTCCGTATCAAATGGCAGGAAAAACTAATAAAACAGCTGAAAGTGAAGTATGATGGTGTCGAGTGTTAAGCCCCGCTAATCATCGATATATTGTACGAGTTCTGATAATAAACGTGTGATTATTGGCCACAGAAAGTGATTCAGATAATATACGACATTTCTGAACGTTTTCAGGCCAGTTAATGCTAAGTTTAGCGTATATTGTTTTATGGAAGTGCACAGCTGCAAGTGATATTTTGGGAACAAAAGAAATAATCATAGGTTTGAACGTACACGGATATAAATGTGAAGTGCTTGTGACAGCGCTGTCTTACCCCCACTATTCGACAGCTTTTTTCTTGCCATTTTTTATAGGGAAAGGTTTATAACTTTGAAGGTTCATGAGCTTAAACTTTATCTGAAGGTTTATAAATTTGACCTCAGCTGACCTTACATTTCCTGTAAGTCGCTAGGGTACTTTTGTGTCTGAAACAGGTCTGTTCCACAGCTGCATCCAGTGAAATATACGTCGAAGCACATTGTGAAATGTTTTCTTATGTAAGCTTCTGGTATAGTAATATCGAACGGTGATCTGATCTGAGCTGATTTATTTGGTGGATCAGAAATTATCAAAATGAACTGTCCACCGTCTTGAAGGTTATTTCCGTGCCCTCAATATCCGTCTTGACGTGTTAGCGCAGGTTTTAACTGCACCAATCAGAGCGACCGTTTTAACCTTTCGTGACGTTCGGTGACCTTATCTTTAAACTAAGATCAAATATTTGGTGTTTATTCTTCGTGACTTTATGATATTTTTGCAACGGTATCTTTTTTCTTATCCGGCGTCTGAAAGTTGGAGATCCCGGGGGAAACTTCTCCCCCGCCCGGGTCGAGCGCGGTTGTCTCAGACCCCGGCCGGACACGAGTAAACAACTAACATTTTTAGGGCGGAAAGGAAAGGCTAAACACAAGAAATCCAGCTTTGCCGTGTTGAAACGTACGGCTCATTTACGTAAAACCCATCTGAGCAATGATTGTATCAATGCCCATTTCACAGGCCGGAGGGACCCGCCCAGTCCAGACCCCTTCCCTTCACCTGATAGCCGGATGGGGCAAAGAACGGATTAATGCGTGTCACCGTCCCATGCGTAAGCTTTTAACGCAACAAACTGACAGCTCAGGTGGTTTCAACTGAATTGCACAGTAACTCTTTACTCCTGAATACTTATTGTGCTAACATTACGCACGTAATCACCTGAGAATGACCTTGCTATTACCAACAGCCAAACAGCTTATCACCATGGTTAGTGAAGTTGCCTAATGCCTGTGGCCAGTGATCCGTGGAGTCTTTACTTCATACTCATCGGACGGGGCCATCCGAGATACGATTTAATGCTTGCAGAAGCAGCAATTTGTGATCCGTGTAGTCCTTAGACGCCCTCCACACCATTGTGACTGCAAATAGCATGCGTACTTTCTTGCCTGCAAACCAGTTACGAAGTGAATTTCAGCATGTCGCCCTATATATGCGAGGCGCCCATTGCTTGTTCTGGCCACGTGCTTTTATGCTGAACTAATGAAAAATGACGCCTTCACGAGCACCGTAAAATTTGCCCGTGCTGGTTTGGAGTGAAACAACCACATGTATAGCAAGAAGGTCGGGGCTCTCACGCAGCCTGACGGTATCGCCACGGCTGCCGCCACCCACACCTGCAGCCATCAGCACTGGTCAAGGCCTGGTTAAGGCCTTGGGGCACCGATGCCCCACCTGGAGCGCACGTGATTCTCTGTAGAAAATATTGCTACCAGAAGACGTACTTTCTTACTTGAGCCAACAACACTTGATGGCAGAAGCACAGCTATCGAAAGCGTCATTTATTTTGACGCATACGAGCCGGAGTGCCTAGGTGCATCATCCAGCCCATATCAAGTCGGTTTATATATATATATATATATATATATATATATATATATATATATATGTATGTATGCATTATGCATTTACATATATCTATGTATATATCACACACGAGACTCACCCGAAATATAACTGACATATTTTTTTTTTAAAGATGCCGAGTGCCACTGAGTATGTATGCTGCCTTTCCATTAGCATGGAGCAAGCTTAATAATAAATGTGTCAAAGTCCTTTCGATAAAACCGCGGTCTAAATTCACCGTTGTCATCATGATGATCTTGTCCTACGATACACAAGTCACCTGTCCTGTTGTAAGCCTGACTAACACGCTGCAGTTTAATACAAGCTATCCGAAGCTGCTTTCTACCCAGCTCTCACTCGTCCAGAACTTGGAAAATGAAAGAGAACCTACACGTCACGCTTACCGAGCAACGATGAGGAAACGGTCGCCCTGCGAGGGTTAGCCCGACCCCGTTAGACTTGTCCTCAATAAGTCCGAAAATGCCAGATGTGGGAGGAGCCCACATGCCGCTGGATTAAAGACGTGTCTGTGCGTGACGACGGCGTCGGGCTCGCGGGCGGGACCTGCCGTCCTGCGACTGACCCCGTTCTGCACAGCGGAGGTGTCCTCTGTTTCACCAGCCTGAGTGGTCTCGCTGGGCGCCTGCACCAGCCCACCTCAAGCACACCAATGACCCAGCCCGTGAGTCGTAGCCCGTCCCGACCATCAATATCTTGTTTAAGTGGACGATGACGCGAGATGAAATATACAGCTGAGTCCATGGCTCAGGACAATGGGAGCCTAAGAGATGTATGGGGAGCCGTAAGATGGTCTTTCAGGGCATCCTGACCGGAATGTATAACGAGCGCCAAGCTGACATAACTACAGCTGCCCGCGGCAATATCCACCCAATGGGCTATTGTTCTGCGTGAAGCATTCGACAATGACGACCTGTATTCCACCCTCCAAAACCGGCGGTATGACGTCACCCTTTGCGGCGGACGCATACCACCCTTGGCAACCGGCGGTATGACGTCACCCTTTACGGCGGACGCATACCACCCCTAATAACCGGCAGTATGACGTCACCCTTCAGGGCGAACGCATACCGCCCTTGACAGCCGGCAGTATGACGTCACCCTTCACGGCGGATGCATACCACCCTTGATAACGGGCGGTATGACGTCATCCTTCACGACGGACGCATACCACCCTTGGTGACCGGCGGTATGACGTCACCGCTCACGGCGACGCTGCGACACTTCCTTCGAATCATGACGGAGGCGCTGCCCAGCTTGCGGCCTTCACAAAGCCTCTATCGACGCCCATAATCTGTCCGGTGGCTGGCATATTGGTGACAAACGAGGCGTGAGTGGCCGCGGGTAGACATGACACGGGGCTAATGAGAGCGAGGAGGGGGGCCGGATTGCCCGCCGTCCGTGGAGAGTCGGGGCTCCTCCTGAGGCGCCGCCGCGGCGGACAGCCAGGCTTCCTGAGAGCCGACGATGTGAATACCGAAGAAGGCCAGGAACGGAGTGGGGAGGCGGGAAGAGGAAGGGATGAGGGAAGAGTGAGTGAGAGAGGAAGAATGGGGAGAGTTAAAAGAAAAGAAGAGAGAAAGAGAGTAAGAGAGAAAGAAGAAAATGAACGGACGAGAATGGGGAGTAGGAGGACGAGGAGGAGGAGGACGAGGAGGAGGAGGAGGAAAAGGATGAGAAAGAGGAGGATGAGAACGAGGAGGGGGACATAAAATTAAAGGAAATAGCAGCACAAAGAACGCGGTCGTTGGTCTCTTTTGCTATCTACGAATAACTTCCATGTCGAATGTCTCTGCTGATCAACTAATATTACTCCATGAATAGCGTGAAACTGTCGATTTTATTTATTTTCCACAGATGCAACACACCTTTTGCGCCATTGTGGGTACAGCACGCATTCACAGAGCACTTATCTTTAAAAATATTAATGTTTTTCTCAAGAAGCTTTTTACCATTGTCAGCATCAAGAGGCCTACAACAAAGCACTGACGAACGTTGTAAATCTGAAGCGTTCTCTCAGTTCCTTTGGTTCCTTTGGTCTAACGTGCTTCATTGTGCGCTGAAGAGCTTCTTGAGGGGAGCGGGAGTTCTCGGCAAACACATATCTGACGTCGGTGTTCAGAGATTGATTGCAAGGAAATGAGAGAGTAGCGGCTTTGTGTCAGGTTATAATGGATCCTTCAAAGGCAATAAGTGATCCTGAGCTAGAGCAGCGATGAATCATTGCATCAGCAGCGTTAGAAGGCAGAGCTGTGACACAGCACGCGCAGTTTGGTAGTTGCTGCCGTCCTGCCAAGCACGTATTTTTGATGTATCACATAAAGTTGTCCGATTCATCCAGCCACCTGACTTTTCGCAAATGCTGTACAGCATGACACATAACACCTTGCTGGCACACCCAGCTAAATGGGCTAGAGCGCCCAAACCTACACCAACCATCGCAATTTCAAAGAGTCGTTTGGTCCCCACCTGCACCAGCGCGCCACCATCAGAGGTTTCCACCCCGTGCACAGCTTGCATGCCGCCTTCTCCTGCCGCCGCCTGAACCGAGGCAGGCTGAGCCGAACGCCGCCAGGCGGAGCGCGTGCCGAGCCCGTGCAACAGCGCCTGACCGCCTTCGGGCCGAAGCCCGCCGCTGGAGCCGCGCCTGCCGCCTCTGGGCCGCCTCGCCTCGCCCGGCGGCGCATACGGCACCAGACCGGCGGACACGCCGCAAAAAGTCGGCCCGGGCCGGCGGCCGGTCGGCGGCCCGTTAGTTCGGCGTCGTTTGGGGCCGCTGGACTGGAGAGGTCCGGACAAATGATTTTCAATATCGCGCTTGCAGACGCGCCGCGCGCCGGAGGCCGGCGTTGACGCCGGAATGGACGGGAGCGGCGCAGAAAAACGGCGGACGGACCGCGGCGAGCAGCGGCACGGTGCGACGGACGACACCGCGGCATGCGACTGGGACTGGCGGCTGGGGTTGGGGCGAGCGCCAGCTGCCCAAGAAGTCCCAAGCCAGGCTGTTTGGTATGTTTAAAGGTAGCCGTTAGTCTGTTGCTCGACGCGATTAGCTTGCTGTGCACTTATACCAAACGCGCCAACATTTTGCCGCAGGTAGTCGAAATATGCCGCTGATATTGTTATCAAAGGGCTGGATGTGTCTATCGATATGCACAATATGTGTTAAGCCTGAATCCAGGCAAACTCATTCATGGTCTTAAAACTGCGTCATCGTAAGATAGGCACGTGTTACATCTAATTCGCTCAGCAAAATTTATCCTTGAGTACTCGTAAAAAAGCTTTTCGCACCAGTATAGATCTCATTTTAAATTGCGAGCGCCTTCCTGTCGTGGAACAGGAACGTAGCCTGGCGAAGAGGAACACGGAGGTCATCCCTTCCATTAGCTAAAAGCGTTATACTAGATACTCGGCGACTTCTCAAGAATTTGATCCAACTTCGCGGGATTTCTGAAAGAAAAAAATCCTCTAAGCCGTCTAAAATTGCAGCTATTTTGAAAACAGGTCAGTGGCTTAAAATAGACGCATGACTGTCTGACGTGAATTACGGAGTTCCCACTAAGTGCTGATTCAAACGCCGCCAAAAAATCTGTGCTGAACATACCCATCCCACACTATCCAGCGCACGTGGGGCGCATACCTATGTGGGACCTTCGAAGATACCCTGTATAGTGAGCAACAGTCACTGGTCGTTGTATTGATTCATAAATGTTGACATCTTACACACGTATGACATAGCTGTGATGTTGACAACACACATATGATTACATGTCACAGGTGTGTCGAATTTTTGTGTTTTAATGATTTATTTTAGGACTTAAACAGTAAATTTTTTCCAGAAAGAGACCGGTTCCCGCAATGAGCGTTTCGTCTTCCACCAACGTTCACGCAAGTCGGAGACTGGTGCCATGCCAACTGGAAAGCGTACCACGCGCGCACAGGAATGCGAGCTCCAGGTCAGGAGGGCTCCACATCACGAGTAACAGCAGTACCAGGATTGTAGTTTCTGTTCAGTTTGAGTCCACAGCCTTCTCCTCTGAGAAGAAAATTGTTTAAATGCCGCTCATTAGCCGTTTCTGCGTATGTTGGGTGTACGGGGTGGTTTTAACCATTTACTCTGTTTAGCCTGGCTCTAACTCATGTTGCGAGACAACGTTCTTGAGCGGCACGCATGTCTCAGCTCTCCCCCGCGTCGTCGCGCACCATATTTATGGGCATGGTCTTCACGGCGATTGGCGGATCGATGGCCAAAATCCCCTCATTTTCCGCGCTGATCCGCTGATCGCCCCACTCCATACCAATGAGGGCCCATGACACTTTCCACTCATCGCGCGACTCAGGCAAGGCCGTGCCCGTGACGCCTCTTTGCCAGGTGCTCGTCCCACCTGCGCTCTCAAGCGAAGGCAACGCTCATGCACGCTCGTCGCCCAGTCGGCTGCACACAGATTGCTGATGGTGTGGTTTGCCAGCTGCGCATCGTCTTTCGCTCCCAACGTTCGTGCTCAGGGACATCGTCGGAGACAACGGAACTCCTTTGCTGTGAGTGGAACCAGGCTGAGCCACGTCTTTTTCCCCAGTCAAACCGGGGAGCGAGCGTCGATTACGCCGGCCTGCGAGACGGGACGCACTGAATGCGACTCATTGGATCCCCGAATGTTGAACGAAACAGATCGGAACAGACGCGGCAGTACTCGCTCCAACGAGCTGGGACCCACGCCGCCTGCATAATTCGGCAATCGGTTAACGGCAATGCCATTAGCGTTTTAAATTGAATCCGGTTCCTTTGAACAGATTGTCGTTTAGCACGAGATCAGCAGCGGACTAAGCAACGATTGCCCCCGTCGGCCCTTTGCAGTGCGAACTGCTTCCAAATAACGGAAAGTGTAGCACTGCGCATGGCTTAGAGATAGAGGTAGCTATCAGCAGGCCATTAATGATACGCGAGCTAAATGCGAACAAACTATAACTATACGCAAACTATGCAAACTGGCTAACCCTCTATAGAAAACCAGAGCGCACAAATGAACGGCTGTCAAAAAAGGAGGCATACGAGTCGGAGGCGGCTGAGAGCTTTTTGGGTATGGAAGTGTGTATTGCGGTTTTTTGTGCAAAAAAAGAAAATCACGGCAAATGCATGTGTTTATTGTACCTAATGCCCTGAGACAAATATGATCTTGTTGAATAACACAATTCCATTCCATATCAACACGAGAAAAAATTCAAGACATCATCGGACACGTCGTAGGTGTAGCTGCTTTAAAGCCAGGCCAATATCAACGCTAAATAAACGCCAATTTACTACATTCCATACGGACAAAACTATCGCATCTGCCTAACGAAAGACATCTCACAGATTTCGGCTATAACAAGCACCAACTACGCCTTGTCTGTCCGGCTGCCCGGGCAGAGCTCACCGACGCCGCTGGCCGGCCGCTGCATGTTGTCGTAGTCCTTCAGCAGGTTCTCCAGCACGGCCGAGATGTTCTGACTGAGCGCCAGGTTGGCGTGGCGCCGGTGCATGCCTCCAGTCGTTCCAGGGTGCCGGTCAGGTCCCACCTGGGATCCCAGGACACGATACCTGCGGCCGATGGACCCGGGCACCGGTCAGGAATGCAGCACGCCGCATAGCTCCGGCGCTGCTCCGGTGCCATTGTCTTAATGCGTGTCAGCATGAATATTTCATGGGTCGTGCTCGATCTGCTTTGCGAAATCCTGCATGCGTCCGTGCAGTGGGCAGTGTCAGGTCAGTCTCTGCAGTGGACACTATAACGTAAGTGTATATTATTCCGAGCAAATATTCGGGGTTGCCATACAAAAAACGGCCTGGCGACAGAATAACTGAAAACGTCAGTGCAGACGACCATCAATCACCCCAGTAACATGCCCTGTTCTCCGTCAACTGGCAAAGGCGACCGCCTGGACAAGGGCTGTTCCGCGCTGCTGTGATGTACTGCGGCGCAGCATGCGCTCTTCAACCCAGCTGGGGACGGAGAGCGATCGACGTGGGGCTGAGATAGCTCGAAATCTGTCTGCAGTCATGCGGATAACCAGCGCACAGTGAGATTCAACCCAGAATGGACAGTGCAGGCAGCTACACGGTTAACCACGCGGGCCCGGTTTACTTTCGGTCGTTCCTCGCCTCTTCAGTTAGTTTTGTTCATTACCTTTTCAGTCAGGTTTACCATAGACGCTGGGTTTACAACCCGCTGCAGCTACAATCCATGGGAAACCAGCCAGGTAGCATAGCTAGTGCCGCGTCTTTGACCATTGCGGGCTAACATATTGCGCCAGAGAGGGCAAAGTGACGCACAGGGAGGAAACTGTGAATTGAGTTGGGCTGCTTGAGCGGTGTGAGCCTGTTGATAGCAACAAGTGCTATTGCAGGTTATGATAGCTGTCGTATTCGGAACGCGCGGTCAAAAGCTTCACGCTTTACAAGTGCGTTGCTACTTTTGTGAAGAACATCGGACGGTCAAAAGCAAACGAGCATCGTTGGTCGTTGGTAAAGCTTTTGAACATCAGTCGATGTGTGATCCCAACCGTCCAGTCATCATGGAAAGACGTTGGGAAAATTGCCATGCTGCGCCATTTGTTTTATGATTTCACAATGGTTGCGGCACTTATCATTCATCAAACGTGCCTCTGATGTTTACCAAGAAACTTGCAAGGCACGAGTAGCTGCTGACCCGCGTGCTGTCGCCGGTCAATACATCTGCGATCTGGAGAGACATTCACACACTATTTCAAGCCATAATAAACAGCTTGATAAACGTTGGGGCTTGAGTGAACCAAGCAGCCCAAGCCCATCTGTCATGAAACGACTGGATCTTCGTTCCAAAAGAGGACGAGGTTCCGTACAAAACAAGTGAACGAATCTAGGTCAGGAGAGTGTGATCCACCTTACGCCTTCAAAGGCGATTTTTGTTGATATACCCGATCTTTCAATAGAGCTCTGACGGCACCGCGTAGCCGGAGCAAAGCTTAGAAGAACATTAACCCGACTGGGTACGAGCATCTCGCCAACTGCTGCCGCGCGGTGGTTAAAAGTAAACTTCCTGATTTCCCGGTATCTAGGAGTAAGAGCTGCCAATTTTTTAGATTCGGAAAAACGTCACCCGTCCCGAACCCAAGCTTTGAAACCCGCTACGCCCCGCAAGGAAACTACCCCCCCCCCCCTCCTCACCAGCAAGAAAAGCACCAAAAAAACTCTTCACCTCACCACCGCACTGGCCCACCAACCTCCTTTGAGTTCTAGGTATACATGCTCGAACCTAACGATAATAATAATGCAAAAACCAGGAGCTGTAAGGGGCCTGCAGGCATACTCATTTTCGAAGCTACATTTTTCATTTGCTTATTTTGTATTTCCGGACACTTCTTTTCCTTCTGGTTGCGTGCGCTTCACTTTGCGATATATAAGGACCACAGCAAGGAGCTGTAAATATGCAGCAATTCATTTAACTATATGTTTAACAAGCATTGAGGTTGCTCTGTCTTAGATATCTAAATGTCTACAAATTTGGTTCATTTTGAATAAACTATTAAAGGAAAATGTATGCAGTCTATTTGCTCCCAGACATAACCCCAGACATTTATTTTCGTCCGAGACAAAACTGATCCTTCTCTCGGTTGTCTAGAAAAATGTTTAAAAATGTGCAAAAGGGGTCAGCCGGTAATAGTCAACATCAAGCTTATGTCGATAAGGAGCCAACATAGTCATGGCCAAGCCTTGAAAAAAAGCCTTTCAGGAACACGAAAACGAACTCGAGACGCTGCCAGGTCTCCAGAGTCTTCTCGCTAACACTAAGGGTGTCATCGATATCGGTGGTTATGGGCTTGGGTTGGTTACTGACGCGGTTAACGCCCTCGTGCAATTCCTCCTGCAGACATCTGAGTAGCTCCTGTGTATCCTGCTGCTGATATCCTATGAACCGGGCCGCGAACCCATGGAACTGCGCTTTCAGTAGGAAGGTGGTGGCATCCGGCCAGCCTCATGGGAACTCTTTCACAGATTTTGCATTAGCGTGGTAAATACAGATAAACATTACATTTGATGACCGATAGTGCGCCGTAAATGACGTTGTGCCCTGTCCTTGGGCAGCTGATGACACATTCAAACACAACCAGCAGATACGAGCTCGTCCTTGAGCTAGCTAAGCAGTATTAACACATTTAAGCTCATTCAACAGCTGACGGCATCTAAAACCAAACGTGCCGATCCCCGTGCGCCGCTTTCGTCCTTAGATGCGCTTGTTTGAAACGATAGTTTGATGATCAATATATCGTTTGTGGCTTAATATCAAAACAGCGCATCACGCAGCAGAGAGTATTGCTATACACAAGTTGCATAGTTTGTAGATGATGTATGAGATGCAAAAGACTTGACTGGTATTATGTATTAGTAAACTTGGCAGACCGTTTCATAACTGCAATGCATGATCATACTTTCAATTAAATCATGACGCTGGGTGGTGTTAATTTTTCGAACTCTGTATCGCTGCATCCAGAAGATGAATCCAGCACCTACTTCCGGTTGTGTGTTATCAAGACCTGCAACGATTGTGTTAAATGGTGTATGCAGTATCCAAGAGTATAGGTTTGCAAAATCAGTTTCTGGTTTGCCGAGCAGAGGACGTGGCAAATCTAACCCCTAAAATGCCCAAACGATAGGTTTCTCACTGCATTTGGCCAACTTCTCAGAGTTAAGGTCAGGCCCTGTAATTGAACAGGAAGTCTGCACCCCTGAGAGCATCTATCGTTACTTCTGGATTATTTCAGCATGATTCTTGCTTCTCTGTGGGGATCTCTCCTTCACAGAATGTTGGTTACGCAGTTATAGCTAAATTTAGCCAGTACAGCTTTTCAGCCATGGTAAGCCGTTTTCAAAACTATAGCCAGCATGTATCATGATACACCGAGCTTTTAAAACGCCATATATTACATAACCGGAAAAGTTCGGATTGAAATATCACTTCTTCACTTCACTCCATAATGATTACCTAATGACAGGCAAATAAGGCCGGAAAGCTACCTAATGCGTTCAACATCTTTGTCTTTTATCTAAAACTATGCCACATTCCATCATGGTGCCCTGAGACACACCTCAAGTCATCTTATAGTTCCGCCGGTCAAATCAGCCGGATCGTCTCAGCCCGGGAAGCCTGTCATCACCTTAATGTATGTTTGATAGAGTGCCAGAGTTTCCACAACTTGCTGAGAGCACCCTCATCTGATTTTGGGGAATGAACATGCGGTAAAAGTTATTCAATCTGCATGTCCAACAACCAGCTCACTGTATGTTGCGAAGACGCCAGAAGCTTACATATGATCGCCAAACCTTGCAGGTTATTTAATTCATATTGCACCGTTCTTGGAGGTGGTTAACTTTAATTTCCCGATCAATCAGATACTCTAGCATAAAAACGACGCACGGTCATCTAAGGTATCAGTTTGATGTTCAATAGTGTGCTGGAATTGCGGCTAAGCCCTGGTTTGGACGTCGCAAACGAACACCAGCGGAAAGAAAGCAATGCCTACTTTTTGGAACTTACAAAGATAGCGCTCGTAAGAAATCCTCTCCGGATACGGGACATTAGCGGACAGTCGTCAGTGCGCCGAGGTAGACGTATTCACCGCTGACATTGCCAAAAGCTGGTTACCCCGCTCCGTCTCCCGAGTCAAACATCGCATCTATTAGTTGTCTAAACACGGAATCCGAGTGGTCAACACACGCAGCGGCTCCCCCTCCCCGCGACCCTCCGTGGCTGCGAGAGGGCACCGACTCAGAGCCGCTATCGCCCCTGATGACGGCGTATGCCAGCCGGCCGACACACCGCTGTCGGGACCACTGTTCGCTGCCAGCTCTGAACACACTGCTCTTATCACCGAGGACTGCTGCCCACTGCCAGTTCTTAACACGCTGCTCATCGTTCGTTTGTCACCGAGCTGCCCGCGCCAGGGCCGACTAGTGTTGCCACTTTTGTACCCGCTGGTCCGCAGGGCGCGGGGCTGAAAGGTCTGCAGCGTTTTTAGCACGCATTGCTTACTACATCGCGGGCATTGACGAGTTTTCTATGTCTAAAATTGTCTCACCTGCTTTTTTTTAACCCAGAATCTGTGCTTTGTTAACTAGCAGAGCAATTGTCGGTAATAAATGCCAATGAAAAGGAAGTTACATGTTAAATCAAAGTATTCCAGCTAAGCAATATAAGTCATTTCATGAATGCAGGCCAGTTTTATAAAAAAAAAGTCATCGCCGCCCTTGCCAAACAATAATTTCAGCAAAAATATCCCCACTTACCGAGCTTTATAAAAGGTCCTGACACCCGACGTAAATTCCCTGGTGACGAGTTTCCTAGACTCAAAAATCATCTGTTGCTTTTCAGATTTATGTTAACGTACCGCAAACAAACATCTTGTTACTTTTGCAATGGTTGATCATGCTCATTGAGAAGGACAAATAAACTTTGTTGTTACAGATTAGGTTCAACAAGTGTCTTATGCGTGTTATTTGTTGTCTT